ACTCGAGTGTATTACGTCCTCGTCGAAGGGACACTGGCGATGAAGATGGATGGCGGCCTGAGTTACGGGCGAGAAGATGAACTCATTGACGTCGTCCTCTCCATTAAGAAGTTGTCGGACGTGATCCCGAACGAATGGCGTCTCCCCAGTTGCGACGTCGTCGGCGACATCGTCCGTTTCACCGTTTCCGCCATTGCCGAGGAACACACCGAGAACACAGGAGGAAACGCGTTGTACGCGGCCATTCTGCAGCCTCCTCTGGTGGGGAGGGAGTACCTGCACGACGCTGTCCGAACGTGGTGTCTCGATGATGACATCGATGCAGTGCGTCGGCGGCGGTAGGGGGGGTGGGGGTGGTGGTGTCTTCCAATTTGGGAAGAAGGGACTCGATTGGTGAGATTGCGATGTCATCATACGTGACTGGGACGTTAAAAAGGTGACACGTGGTAGGGAGGCGGTGTCGCCATGATTTGGGGGGATGGATGGATGGAGGGGGGGGGGGGGGGGGGGGGGGGGGGGGGGGGGGGGGGGGGGGGCTAACTGGGGGGGGGAGGAAAGCATGCGTGCTTTTCGAGGGATTCGACTGACGACTACGACGACAGCGACGTCGTGCATGGCCAGCGTGGCAGTTTCTTTTCGTGATGTGATTCGGTTGCAGAGGGGGCCGTGTTGATTGCTGTTTTTGTTCCGCATGGAGGCATGTAGTAACAGATCCAGGTTGCGGATTACGGCTTTTTGTGATTTTGGTAAGTTGTTTTGGGCTTGACATGATACCGGTGGGTGTGTTCATCGGTGTTTTTGTTGCGTCAAGCAAGGGGAGTTAAGTAGACAGTTGAGGATATGGGAAGTTGGGATGGCATGAATCACACTTTGAACTACTATTCGACACTTTGTAGTCATTCCATAAATTCCTCGTTGTTGTCTGAAGTCGATGTGGCATGTGTGTTTCAATGGCAGTCCTTCTATTTTCTGGTCTCGATGCATGCGCGCCTGTGTGTTTCAAATGAGCAGGAACGAGACACGTGTAACGTGACATTCCAGTCAACAATTCCACAAATATTGGCGTGAAAAGATGATAATACGATTGTTGTCACCGATAGTTCGAACAGGAAAATATCGTAGCGTGATGAGTACAAAAGCAGTACTGATATAAATATTCGAAATGATAACTCACGACGACGACATAAAAAAGACAATAGGCATATTGTGAACATATAAGTACATCGATATTAACTGATTTTTAATAAGTGGTTCAATTGTTTTAACAATTGGAATGCAATCCTTTCACGCGTTCAACCACATGTCGTTTACGATAATCGCTTTCTACACACACACACACACACACACACACACACACACACACACACACACACACACACACACACACACACA